TTTGTCATCATTTCTGTCGTTAAGTTTTACCTTGCAAGTAAATAAAACCGAGTAATTATCATTCTGTGTTTTCTTCTTCAACATATCACAGCAATAGTAACAACAATTAGGTAATCATTGGCTGTCGCGGGCCAGATTGATGACACTGGCGGGCCGGATTTGGCCCGCGGGCCGTAGTTTGGAGACCCCTGATCTAGTATATTGTGAACTCGATTTTGCAATCATCCAAATATCTCCAAAGAGTATTACCTATAGAGACTACTCCCATTTCATTCAAGAAAATTTTCAAGATGATGCCATACGTATCAATTGGATGCATATCTGTAATCTCAATAATTCAGATGAAAAGTTGACATTTCTCAATAGTGCTATAATAAATGAAACAATTATATACATCAAATTCCAGATACTAAGTACTGAACACAACATTGCGAAACTCTGGAGAGATTTCTCATTGTGGAATGATCATGGCAAACCCTCGAAATCAATGAATCACTTACTCGATCTCTTCCACCTACTCAACGAGAACTCATGCACAAATATGAATGTTCTGGAAAACTTCAATCACGTATCTCTAAAACAACTTGAGCAATTTCTAGAAAATATAAAAGAAAATATTTGGGTGTTGATGATATTGACCTAAAAATGTTGAAAATTGTATTCCCCTACTGCAATGTATTTCTTATGTCGTGGATGACATTTTCAATGAATGTAGCAACTTATTTGAGGAACTTAAAGTCAATAAATTTCGCCAAAATTATAAATTGTTTTAAATTTACACGCCCAGGACCNTTGAGTAATAGTAAAGGATTGAAATGGAAAATTCGTTACCTTAAAAACTGGAAAGCTGGTATATTTTTTGCCCAATGAACAGACAAGAACAGCAGTCTTGATCCGCTTTCACATATATAATGTATATTCAAATAGGGAGGAACAGGTCCTGGAATTAATAAGTTGAATGCTATATGCTGATCTTGAAGAATGGGTCCATCATAGTCAAAACATTTTTGGTCGCTAGATAATACACTGTAGCCAGTCCCATTTAAGCCTTGGAGTCTAGCCATACTGTCAAGGGCTTTTGACATAAGTTTTTTATCACGTGCGGTAGATAAGGCATCGCCAAGTTCAGTCCCAGTGTTTGTACTTTCCATTGAAATGTCATCGTCAATGCTGCCCTGACTTGTTGACAAATGGAAAGTGTCAGAACCAGTAGTGCTATTGGCTGTAAAAGAATACTTCCATTAATCATAAACTATTATCATGAAAATATTCTAAATTCTTATTGACGAAACAGAAAAGATGAGGTCTGAGCCAACTACAACTAGACTCTAGACATCACCAGAAGATGGCGAATGAGACTTTGCCAAAATGTTGTCCAAATAATCCTTGTGATGATCAAAAACAGAAAACACGGAGCGAAACCCGGAAAAACGGCTAATCATACTTTTGTCCGTGAGAATCTTCCGAGTTAAAAAGCGATTATAGTTATAGTATGTTTACCTGATTTACCAGACACAAAAACCTAACAGGTACTTGTCGATTTGTTAAAGATACATTTTTCTCCAGTAAAATCATACTTTTTCGAGAGAATAAAATTAATACGGATTGGGAGGCGAGGATAAATTATCTTGTAAATTCAGTGAAGATATATTGGATATACTCATGAGAGACATTTTCTGACGTTACAGTGATCTTTAAAAAATTGTGATATTGGCTTCAATCAAGGAGTCAGTGTTCCAAGGGGAAGGACACTTGCAGAAGCCGTCAGATGGTAAGCAGCAACACTTCTCGACAACGGTCAAGTAAGTATTTTCTATGTGGCAGAACTAATCATTTAGCAAGTTTTTGTGTTTATAAGAATTGCAATCATCACACATGTGGCAAAAAAGGAGATTTGGCACCCCAATGCAAGAAATATTCGCTCAATTTCATAACTGAAAATTACACAAATGACCTGTACCATTTGCTTCAAAGTTGAAACTTGAAAAAGAAATTGATAGGTTAATTGGAAATGAAGTGTTAGTTCCTGCTGAATTTTCGGAATGGCAACACCTATTGTACAATGGGCTTGTTTCATGATTTTTGGTTTACAGTTCATTTGGTAGTAATTTCAAATTGAAAAATAATGCACTTTGTTTCAGCTCTCTAAATAGCGTTTTTTTCCCGTAATTAATTATTAAAAATAGATTGTTATTTTCTGAACATTAAAGATTAAAATAGTTATGCAGATGATCACTAAACATGTTTACTGACCTTATTCCAATGTTGAATATTTATAATTTCCCTTTAATAATTTCTAACGAGTGTGAAATTTTGGAGGATAACACAGCATGTTTCGAGCAACTACTAAAATATTGCATACTGGTGTTAGACAAAAATGAATGAGGTTGCTACCTCTCAACAAACAAATTTACCTATGGGTACGATTGGTTAGATATGAATATTTTGTTATTGTTTGTCAGTAGATAAAAAGTGCATTTAAAATTCATGTTTATAAACATCCAATCCGTTGCGAAATAAAATTATAAATTCTTATGATGTAATTAATAAAAATGTAAGGCGATACCTTATCATCTTTGGTATTACATTCCTTGTATGCATGTCTGTTTCAACTACGTTTGTCTCATCAGTGAAACTACCAACCTTGTAACAAAAAAAAAACTTTCTTTTCTAAAAATGTCATTCATGAGTTCGAATGGGAACTAAGGCAACATTTTCAAAAGTTGGTTAAAGACTCCTAATTGTACTGAATTAGAAAATAATAAAAATACAATTAGTATCCTTGACCAGTATTTTCCTGTATTTGAAAATTCAACAATGAGTTCAAAATATTTTTCAGAACAAAAAATTACGTACTTTGACGTTTTGGAATCAAGTTGAACTATATCTACTGAAAGCACTAACTAAGTTAGTAGTCTCCTGATGATGTTAACTTGGTTAGCGAAAAGAGCGCCGACAGACAGTATTTTTGTTCTGCTGAGGAAATATCTATTTCTATTACTATGAAGGAAAGTACCACTTTTTCTCCCACAGGATGTAGTTTACTTAGTATTCTGATGTTTATTGGCGGTTATAATTGTTTTTTTACAACAGGGTGTCCAGTCAGTGAACGCAACCCTTTCCAAAATCAAAATTACTTTTTTCTGTGAATAGTTATTTCATTATAATGTGGTTTATCTTCTCTTAGGCGAAATCAGAAACTTTTCGTTGCTTGAAGATGTATGAAGTAATGGCCATATACAGGCTGTGTCCTCTTTTAATAGGGCGGGTGCTTGCGGTGGCGTGCGCATGCGCTCCGACAGCCGCTTCCGCATATTCAGGACGCCGCAACGGCCACCTGGCCTCCCGGACCTGAGTCCCAGGGATTTCGGGACCCAGACTCTGTCCGAGTGCGACGTGAGGCTGGTCCTGTGCCTGGCGTAGCTCTACTCTTCTCGACACAGGTACATGGTCAAACTCTTGATGATGTGGCACACCTGTCCCGCCATGAGGGTCTTTGTATCAATTTTTTTATACGTCCTACGTTTTCATTTTGAATCTTGAAACGTATTTTCATATTAACTGTAAATTGGTAATTACAAATTTTCATGTGACTGAGATTGTTTACTTTATAAATCATTTCTAACATTTTTCCGTTCTATTATGTTCATAATTTCTCATGTTCCTTCGTAAATAAATGACAATTCGTGTATGAAAATATCAATTGATTGTGAAATTTTCACTAGTCAGGTGCAAGATACCCATTTATTGATAATGATAAACATCTGTAGGATTGTAGCTATGAATAATCGAAAAATATACAAATCAAAGTATATAACGTTAACGTAATTTTTAAGTGATTTGTAGAGCCATGTCGGTAGCTCATTTTTTATTTAATCTTTCATCACTTCTGAATTATTGTCACTACATAACATACCGTACAGAGTAGAAATCTTACTCTGAAAGGTAAGATCTCGATAATGTTTATCTAGCGCAAGTTTGGTTGTCATTCCTTAAACGGGCGATAACTGGGTTAAACGTATGGTTTCTACTGAAATGGATTTTCTATCGACAATTACAAAGATACATTTCGTTGATTTTCTCTACTCTACTCAATTTGTTATATAACCTATTTGTTGTGATTCACAAATGTTAATATATTAAATATATCAGTGCAAGGACCACTGGCTGAGCCTTAAAATAATAAAAATTCATTGTAGTTTCAAATTCCATATTTACGACGTCTCGATTCGTAGATATTATTCACACAAATCAGTATAAAACATATTTTTGCAAGAGTGAGGCAAGTGTTCAGTGGCGAGTCGAGTCTAGTTTGGAGTTATATATAATATTTGCAAATTGTTGAGCAGTTGTAAAGTCGTGTGCTAGATCGTTTGCACGGTTAGCCACAATAAAATGAAAGTATGTACCTTTTTTCAATATAATACTTGTATGCCGATATACCAACAAATTGTATTGAAATTATATTTCAGACTTGTTTTCATCATGTTATGTTTTGCATGTACATGTGAAAAAAATTCAATATTTATCAATTGTACTGTTGGAAAAGTAATCTGTTGATATTGTGTAATATACGTTCATAAAATATTTGTATTATGTATTTCTTGTCTTATTGCAGATTTCATATGAGTTTCACTTAATAACGACCAAAGAAGAAAATCTATTTCTTAAAAAATATCCAGGATACATAAACAAATTATTTGACACTTATCAAAAGACAGTTGTGCAAATGGGACCTTGATCAGTAATAATGAGAATTGTGAGTATTCATATTCAACTGTCAGATATATATTCAATTTTTTTATCCAATTCGAGCTTTTTCTGTGCTTATTGTCAACAAATCTTATTATTAAAAATTATTTTTTCTACAGATTGGGATAGAAGCACCAGATGCCTCTTGGTTTTGGATGAACTTCTGCCACCAACTCCTGTTGGAAGAAAACGAGCAGAAAAGAGAAACCACAGTAGAAAAACTATTGAAATTTCAACATTCGGAAATGCCCATTCAGAATATTTTTGGAAGAAAACCATCTCTACAACCATTTCTACATGCTGTGGGAATGAATGAAGGAAATATTGTCGGTTATTTTGTGGTCTTCGATAATCACATTGTGAGTGCTAGAAAAACAATAGGTACTTGAGGGATTCGACTATCTTTTCAAATGCCATTTTGTATTTGACATTCATTTTTACCAAGCTCTTGAATGGCATTGTTCTATTTATGTTCAAGTGAACAATATTATTCAATATTTCTAAAATTCATTGATGATACATCAACATTTTGTTTACATCATTTCATAAGTTCATATATAACTTAACGACATTATGTTATACTTCAACAAGATTTAACAATATTTTGTTCACATTATAACGCAATATTTGGTGTGGTCCATAAATATTATTTGATTTATCAACAAGAAATCATTAATGATTCAACATGATTTATTCACATAACAACATACAAATGGATAGAATATAAAACTATTCTAGCAATATTAGATTGACAAATTGATAATAACACCATGACGAATGCATCACAACTCAGTGTTGATTCAGTAATAATGTATAATGAAAATCCTCAATAAGTTTTACTAGTTCCACCATTTGAAGTTGTAAAAATTACAAAAAATATGCTTGATATACCGTTGCTCCAGTTGAATTATCCATATTTTTGTTGTTGAAATACCAACTTCTTTAGCAAACGAAGCCATTCTTAATGTATTAAATGATGAAATATTTTGAATGAATCTACAAATTTTTGTTTGTTAATATTGTCAATATCAAAATTTGTGATTTTCTCACAAAGTTCTAGTGGACTTACTGGGTTTCTTTATTTTGTTGATTTCAACAACATTTTTCTAACAGTATAGCCATACCATTTCAGTCAATCTTCAATCTAGCACTGAGTACAGGATGCTTTCCTAAAAAATGGAAAATATCAAAAATTTGACCAATTTTCAAAGCTGGTGTCATAAACAATATACAAAACCACCGACCTATAACTTATGTGCTTGTACAACAGAATTTTTCCTGATGTTAAGAATTTAATTTCAAACAATCAACACGGTTTCTTTAGCAAAAGATCAACAATAACCAACTTGATGTGCTTCATACAATCAGTAAGTAATGCACTTAATAACAAACTACAAATCGATTCTGTATACACATATTTTTCGAAGGCGTTTGACAGGTTGGATGATAACATTCTTATCAATATACGTA